CTGCTTGGCTGGCACATCCTGGCGCGTCCTGGCGCAAAACAGCTGCTGGCAAGTGTCAGGAATGGGGCGTGTCTCTAAATTGAATCTGCCCAACAACAAGACAACAGTAAAATGCAAAACAAAAGCAAAAACTCACATAAAATACAGCAAGAATTGAAATGGAAAAAAAGAGAATGTATAAATTGAAAATTACAAACATTGTAGCATGCCAACTGCTCCGCTGGCAAATAAACACTCACATAACACTATTCCGAGAGGATATTTTTGCATTTGTTTTGCATGCAGCCGACATCCAGCTGCATTTGTTGGCCATAGCTTTTGGCATTACAAGCCGCTTGTCAGGCACTTTGATCAACATTAACAATGCCATTGGCCTTTTCGAATTTCATACGCACTGTAGGCAAATGGCTGAGTCCACCAGACGCATAAAAAACACGACGCACAACAACGATATTTGAAAATTGATATTGATGCGATTGGAAACAGAATGCACATTCATCATTTATCATTTACACCTGCATACCGATATCTAAATAGCAATAGGCAGCGCAATGTTTTCCCAAATACACACTCGTACATGTTTGAATTTCAAATGCAAATTACATAAAATGACCGCGTGCAACGTGCGCGGCATAAGCAATTAACAACATTTTATTGCCGCTAACTCGGCGGCCCTGTTGGTAATAACCATGGCTATAACTTGCAGTCGGACAGCGTGCACCAAATGTGGTGCAAAAATGCTTTCATATGTAGAATTCAATAAAACACCAATGCAACAGTAGTAGGAAACTACAAACGATTCCATTGTTTTGTCCATGCCAATGAATTCTTAGCAACATTCAGATTTTAGTCGACCTGCAAGTTACTCTAGTTTACTGAAGCTAAATTCACACCTATACCTCATACCTATTATTTAAATTACGGGTTATATATAGAAACTGCACTATAGGCAATTGGAAAAGATGTTAAAATATACATGCCATAAGTCCAGGGATAACTAACAGAACATATCTTGTTGCTCCATAATCAGCTCCATCAAAAAGAAAATCAAGATTTTATGAAAATTTCATAATATGAACTATATAAAATAGTTTGATAATCAAAAATATATATATTTGAAAAATGCACTATAATGAATACACGCTAATTGCTGCAGGCTGTAGTCAATTTTAAAGATAGTTATAATCAAATGTGATGCACCCTTTTTATCCATAAGCCACACAGGGTATATATACAGCAAAAACAACAACAACAACAGAAAGCACATGCAGCAATATGGCATCTGTCAGTGTCATCTGGGCGCCAGATATCAGAGCTGCATATAGAATGCATGCGCCGTCCACGTACAGCGCTTTTCGCGTAGCCGTGTCTGCTATTTGCTTAACAAATGAAATTTTCGTGTAGTGCCCCGGAAAATGCTAGACCGCATGCGTCTCGCCCCTATCCATATCGTAGCCGCGACGGTGTCTGGGCCGGATAGCAATGTCAGTTGCCAAATGCAAGTGAGCTTATTTATTTGTTTAGGCCCAGCGGTGGCCATGATTTTGTGCCCAACTCTCGTTGCCCGCCGATGTTTTAACGTGAGCCGCGAGGCAGCCCAGCCAAGCAAAAAAGGACGCGCCAACGGAAATGCGTCTGCAGTCAACTAGAAATGCAGGCACATTTCCCTGTGTGTGTGTGCGTGTGTTAGTACGGTAGAGTGTGTGCTTTGTATATTTCATGGATATGCCCAAGCACGTTTGCCCTGGCAACAGCCAACATGGTTTACATTTGCGTTTTTTGTTTGCAGCAGCACAACGCTTTCATTTTTTGAGCATATTGGCAATCGAGTCAACCAACTCAATGAAAAGAGTTGCAATCTATGAGCACTGAATAGGAAAGCTAGCCATATCAGTTGCTTAATCAATAAATATTTGTTTTGCATAGCTGCCTTTTCGTGTCTACACTTCTACCAGTTGATAATTAGTATCCCATACAATGTTCTAAATAACTTTTCCGTTGTGATTTTTAAGTTTTTCTTATTGCTCAGTATGATGGTTTATAAATAAGTACCCCTTTAAGGATTGCTCCATACAAATTCCCCATATTAGCTCATGTCATGCGTGTAAATAGAGCAACATAGCTTCGGTGGGTTCATCATAAAATAATTGCACACTCACGGGTCTAATTTTAAAATGGAATATTTCATTTCAGGGACTCGGGTTGAGTGCACAAGTACTATACTTCGTTTATATATATGCATGCAGACATATAAGCACAAAAACTATGTAAATGTATTTATGATGACCGCATCAGAAATGTGAATCATCATCCCCAGAGTTTAAAAACGTGCAAATAAACACAGATGTGCAAGCGTACGAAACGACAAGGGATTTAAAGCCTTAGTTCGAAACTTAACGGGCACATTCCAATAAATTCGAAATATTGAGTAATATTTTCGAGCACTTGTTGAATTTGGTTGGCAATTTGGAAGGTAATCTGTTTAAAGAGTTGCCCGCAGTGAATTTCCTGCTTTTCTCGCACTTAAATATACGGCTATTAAAATTTAATTGCATCTGCTCTACCACGCATGTGACGTGCAACATGCAAGGTGGAAGCTGCCATACGTGCAACGTCGACAGCTGCTGTGGCTGCACTTAAAATCTTCGTTAATAATTCAGACAACAAATGACCGACTTACCACCATTCGCCATGCAGGGCGTACCAGCGCTGGCGCATACAGCCACATTGTAGATTTTACCGTCTTTGGTCAATTTGTGTGGCGCATGGCTACTGAGCGGACTCAGGTCCAGACTGTGCAAAATAAAAACAAAACGATATATATTCTACGTAAACAACATGAAAAGAGTTGTACTCACAGCTCATTTCCCGCGGCCACGGCCGCGCAGGGCTTGATATTCTTGCAAGTTAGTGGGGTGAAAAAGCTAAACTGGTAGGTGCAGCCATCTTGACTAGAACCCATAAACTCGGGATGTGCATTCTGCAAAAGGAGTACATTTTAGCTAATACTAACGATATTATCTTTAAGAACTCACCATAACACTTTCATCGCAGTAAAAATTGACAATACTGGTATAATTTACGCTTGAATTTCCTGCACACGGCGTCGAGGACTCGTGTCGCAACAACGGCTGGCCGTCTTTAATAACGGGTTTCGTCTGTACATTGCCAAAGTTAATGAAACTGGAAGCATATGCAAACAAAAATAGGTAAAATAAATATAAATATATATAACATTTAAATAAACATTCCTCACCGTTTTTTTATATCGCTGACCTTGGGCAAATACAAGCATATGCTGCTGCCGGATGGGCACATGGCGTTCTCGCCATAAAGCACTGGCTTGCATACATTGATAATAAAGAAACCCCCCTGGCGGTCTGTGGTTCTATAGTTAGCATCGCTAAGCGACATCAAATCGAATGTGTCTCCAGTATTTGTGCTCACGCTACAGTTATTGGACTGAAGCCCATCCGGTATAGATAAGCAGGCCAGGGGTGTTTCATAGGTAATGTAAAAGGAACAAGAGTCTTCAGCCTGCAAATAAAAACCAAAATATTTAATCATTTCAAACGTAAGCTTGAGGACGTATTTATTTACATAAGCCGTTATATGCAGTGGATTGGCATCCATCGTGTAGTCGCAACTGAGCAGCACATGCAGCTGATAGTTGGGATTGTCGTTGGTTCCATTTTCACATTTGGCACCACTCAAATACTTGAGGTAAATTTTACCATTGTGATAGTGCAGCTCATGCTGGCGGCCTATAAGTACAGAAATTTTGAATCAGCAAGTGATTTTGCAATAGATCATATTGCGCTTACCCAGCACATACTCCTTGCCCTGGCTTTTGAGGCAGGCAGCCACATTGCTCTCGTTGTTACAGCTGTGCGTCAGATTGCTGCATATGTTAAACTCAAAGGAATCATTTCTAAAGCTTCGTAACACATGCGCCAAATCCGAGTGTAGGCCGCTAAAATCAAACTTGTAGCCATAGACGGGCTCCGTCAGCGTACAATCGCGTGTTGAGAAGTCCTGTAAACACACACGAAATTTGAAAATATAACCGCCACTGTTGTCGGGCTGTTAACGTGCTGTTAACTGTCAATAGGTACTTGTGGTGCTTCGTAAGTAGTCCGATTGATTGATAATATATAACAGAAACAAAGCCCAATGCATACATACACACATCTATATATTGCTGGCCAAATTCTATAGCTTATCGTTCTTTTACCTGTTAACATGGCAACAAGTGCGCAGTAAGAAATGTGTACAGCTGTAAGCCAGTGGCCCAAACACGGTAACGAAAACAAACCAATAAAATCTTCCAACACACCCCCAACCCATCTCCCGGCAACCACTCACCAGCTGATTTGCGTCATCCCCAGCGCTTACACTGCATGCAAACGCAAGCAAAATGACCAGCATCGGCGTCGATATGGCGCCACAAATCCCTGTTTTGCGTTGGTTACTCATTACAACAACCACAACTCCTCCATAAATATGTGTCGGCGATTTTGCAAAAACTGCAGAACAAAGAATTTTTTGTTGTGCCCGAGTTGTTAGCACTTGTGCGCATCAAGTTCGAATGTTATAAGGCTTATCAGATATTCTCGTTGGCTGCTTTAGTGTATTGTTTATTTAGACACAGTTAGTATTATTGCCGCTTCGATTTTTCAAAGACCGCTTCCTTATCTGAATAGCGCGCTAGAAGTAACGAACGATAAACACAAGTCGGGCACACACAATGAATCACATAAATTGTACGAAAGCTTGCTTATTCCAAACAATTAGCTGCAATTTTCGCAACGCAGCAAATTTGATTAAACACAAACTCGGAAAGCGGCAGCAGCGGAGCCGTAACGGGTTGGTCGAAATGCAAGAACAGCAACAGCATTGAAGAAGAAGCAAGTCCAGGGCAGCATACAAACAGTGTTGAGTAACACGCATGCATAACAGCTGTTTCCCAAAATTATATGAAACAATACTTATTAACACTTTTTACTGTGTTTTGCATTTATCATAACGAAATTTCCACTAACTTTAACTGAGAATATTATCTGAAAAAATGGCCGCAAATATTGCCGCAGCAGCCGCTGCCGCTCAAGAAGTAGATCCTGTGCTGAAAAAGGCAATTAAATTGCTACATTCATCTAATCCAACTTCTGCAGCCGAACTTCGCCTGCTGCTGGATGAGGCGCTTAAATTGCGCTTTGGGCCTGAGAAGATGATCTCAAAGAATATGACCCAGCGCATGATGGACGATGAGGCCAATTTTCCAGGTCGCGCAACCCCACAACCACCGGCACAGCCAGTGGCAACCGATGAGATTATCAATCTAACCAACTCACCGGACAAGGTGCCCTCGGATTCGCCCGACACCATTGCGGATTCAGATGATGGCAGCGCCGCTGGATTAGCCATGAGCGGTGTCGTCAACACAGGCGACACTGGCGACTTTGGTGACTTGAACTGTTGTGTTTGTGGCGAAATGGTGTATAAGGCCACCAATCGACTCATTGAGTGCTCCGACTGTGGCGCACTTTATCACCAGGAGTGTCATAAGCCACCCATTACCAATGAAGAGGCAGCCGACGATCAGGTCCACATTTGGCAGTGTGATACCTGTTGTAATAAGCCCTCGACAAGCCGGGCCGCTGCAAGCATAGCCTTGCCGGTCGCCACCCCCACTGTGATCATACCCGATGAGCCCATGCCGCTGGTGCCCAAGACCAAATCGTCGGTGCCCTCGTCGCGTTCATCTACATCCTCCAACTCGTCCTCGCCGTTTTATAAACCAGAGCCGAGCAGCTCCACAAATGCCAGCAGCAGCAGTAGCAGCAAGCATGGACACAAGTCTTCCTCCTCATCGTCTTCGAAGTCGCATAAGGAGGAGCGAGCAAGCAAATCTGTGGCGCCTGCACTAAACACGATCAGCGCACCAGAGAAACACACTAGCAGCAGCAGTGGCACTTCTTCCTCGAGGCGCGGCAGCTCGACTGCCAAGTCCAGCAAGAGTAAGCATCACGAAAGCAGCAGCAGCAGTAAACGCAGAGCTAAATAGTGGACACTTGAATTATAAAATGTGTATCATTATCTTTAATATTAATATGTAAAAGCTAATGCGCACAACATGTATATTTATAGAACATATTTAAGCTGACACAGGTCTGAAGCTTCAAAACATATACCCAGCAGCGTTTTATTAAATGAAAATATATAGTTGTATGTATAAAAAAATTAATGGAATTAGCGCCTATACTTGCGCAGAGTAACTGCAGGTGTGCGTGGACTCCGCGTGGAGTTCCTAGCTGGCGAACTAGAACCCTCTTCGCCATTTACTTTTCGTATATTAATGCGTGTCGCTGGCGAGCTGCCTTTGGGCGTCGAGGCGCTGTGCGAAGAGGGCGTCTTGTTGCTGCCAGCGGGTGTTATGTTGCTTGCCTGCGCCTTCTTTTTGCGCTTTACATTCACAATTACATTGGCATCCATACTGACATCCAACTCGAAGTTGAACTCGTATGTTTTATTGGAGCGCGGCTGCGGAGTCAAGTCATCATTGATCACCGTCTTGCCAGGCCTGCTGCGCAACGATATTGCTGGACTGAAATTGATCTTGGCATTAGTTCTCTGTGGTTTCGGCGTGGCGTTGCTTTCCACTTTGGCCCGCTTCAGCGGACTGGAACGCAGTGGCGAGGAGGCTTGTGGTGCTTCGCGTTTCTTGGGCGAAGCTGAAGCTGGCTTGTGCGCCGCTTTGCGCGTTGGCGTGATTCTTGTAGGTTTGGACCTAGGAGCTGGCGATGCTTTAGCTGCCGCCAACTTTCTGCGCGGCGTGTATTTTGTATCCTCTTCGTCATCGCTAGCAATGATTTCATCCTCTGAAGATGAATTTATTACCAGAGATTTTTCTTTTTTAACCTTGCCCCGCTGTCCCGGTGCAGCCACTGTCCCTGCCTTCTTGGCTGGCGGACTATTGTTGTTATTGCTGCTGCTCTGCGACGTCAGTTTAAAGTCCAAGTCCCCACTGTTTACCACTTTCATTTGCTTGAGAGCATTAAGGAAAAACATGCGACACTTGTCATAATTGGGCGCTTCGTTGTGCGCCAGCTTAGATACGTATTTGATGTAGTCAGAGATGGGCGCCGGCACCCCTTTGGGAAAGAGGGGCTTTAGTGCGGCGTTCACGTCCGCCATAAATGCCTCCTTGGCCTTTTGAACTTTCACCGGCACTGTCAGAAGTTTATCCCTGATCCAGGGCAGCTCCACGCCTAGCCATTCTATAATATTGTAGCCGAGTATTTCAAGATCGGCCCGCCGAGTGGCTACGCCCAAATGTGCATCCCGCGATGTGTACTCAATCGTGCCATTATGCATTTTCTTTGGATCCGGCTTGAAATCCCCCGTCACATAGTGGGAAGCTAGCCCAAAGTCCACCAAATAGGCCTGACAACCACCGCCCTTGCCCAGGCCAAGTAAAATGTTGGCCGCCTTGAGATCTGCATGAACATAGCCGGTGCCGTGCATAAATTCATACACATCCAGCATTTGAATGGCTAGTCGGTAGACGGTAGCCTCGGGCAAGCGCTTGCCGTTCTGCGCATATAACTTTGATATGTCGCTGCCGTAGCGCGGCATAACTATGAACCGATGCTTCTGACCATTTATGTCCGCAGAGCCGTTGGCTAGTATGTAGGGCATACCCAGAGATTTGAGACCATGCTGCTGCTTGAAGTTCTTGATGTCGTCTTGTTTTGCATTCCGCAAATAGAAGTGCATCTCGACGAACAGCGGCCCATTAGCATGTGGCTCCTGAAATATGAAAAGCCATTGATGACAGCAAGAAGTTTCACACATTCTGCAGCTTCAGCTACTTACGCATTTCACCACTGCATCGTAGTTATTTTCTCCATCACGACAGGCTGCATAGATTTCACCGAAGCCGCCAATTCCAATCGAGGGACCAATGCGCCACTGTCCCTTGGCCAGATCTGTGAGAACGGTGCCCTCTTTAAGCTTCTCCGGCATAGCATACAACTTGCCCTTGGCTTTTTTAGCCGGCGCTGCCTTTGGCTTGGCGGTACGACGCATTTTCGTATCTGAGACGGCTTAAGTTACAGCGTTGTTGAAATCAAACACAATTCTAATCAATTCCAACGTACGAATGCCGCCACAACGCATCTGCATCAACCGCGCGCCATTACATACGGAAGTATTGCCATTCACGAGGCTACGTCGCGTCATTTTACCCTCAACACGATAACAGATATCTCAACTTTGCGTTAACAGAGCTATGTGCATTAACAGAACGCGGTTATGTCAAATTTAAATATATATAATTTGAAATTTTACGATTATATTTATAATGCAAAGGGCAATTGATTTTTTTTTTTCTGGCTGAGTGACAGATTTTATAATCTTAGGAAAATCTTGCTTTAACCGTCACTCCAATGGGACTCAATATACCGGCATCATCATTTGCCACAGCATCCACATTGAGTGCGCAGCTGTTTGAACTGTCACCCGGCTTTTGGATGCCACCCACCCTCAAACCTAAGGGAGCCTGCAACAGGACGATGCCGTTTCACATTTAAAAGAGCGCACATCAGGATCTCGTGCTCAGTAGATGTTTCATCTCGATAGTCGACACAACGCGCATAACACAGATAAAGTGAAAAAAAAATAAACAACTTGTAAAATGTCAGCGCGCGTTTAGAAAACAAACTTTTAACGAGTGATCGATTACAAAAGTCAAAGATTAAATAAATAAAAGGAGAGCTGTTCGACAAGTAAACGCAGCTAAAATGCAGCCAAGTGTCGGCAACAATGGAATGCTTTTATTGCTGTTACTGTTGATGCATCAAAATGCATTTAACTGGCATCCGGTTCTGGCATTGCCCGACGTTATAAAAATTGGTTAGTTTTGATTTATTGAAGATTAATCAATTTAGAAAACTCCTGTCTAATTTGTCATTATTCATTGGTTGATTAAAAAAGCATCTTTAGCGCGTATCGATTTTTTTACATCAAAAGCGCGCGTGTGTGTGTGTATCCTCGTAAATGTCCTTACTGATGTGTGTCACTGTGTTTGTGTTTTGTTTGTTTTCCTTTTGGCCGTTTTTTTTCCCTGAGACACGTTTGTATTTGCTTATTAATAACATTGTTTTTCATCGTTTATTGCCGCAGGTGGGCTTTTTCATCCCTCGGACGACCATCAGGAACTCGCCTTTCGCCAAGCTGTCGAGCGGATAAATTCCGACCGCTCAATTTTACCCCGCTCAAAACTTGTGGCCCAAATTGAGCGCATTTCGCCATTTGACAGCTTCCATGCCGGCAAACGGGGTAAGCAGTAGCAGTGGGGGGATATCGGTACACCTGACCCCCCTCAAATGTAGATGTTATTGTTTTCATTCATCCGTTTTGTCTCGCTTGGTCCCATTCAAAACATTGCACTTTATTTTTGTGTATTCTCCATTAGATTCCATTCGATTTTGTATTATTGTTATGCAAATCGAGTTGACTATTGGGAATTCACTTCATGTTCATATATCAGAGAGCTAAATTATTGAAGTTCAATTGCATTTTCAATCCCTTCCTTGTGTGGCGATTGTTTTAAATTTAAGCTCATGTGTTCTAATCTTATTGCTGTGTAGCATTTGTATTATGTCCATGTACTCAACTACACGCTGAAATGGATAAATTAATGTATGAATTCAAATTGCAGAAACTAAGCTACACACTCTTGTTGTAATAATTTAATTCGAGTTAGAAATGTGCTCAACAGAGAGCAGACATTTAAGCATTTGAGGATGTTTTGAGTGAAATAATACTTTCACAGTTTTAAGATATGTATGTGTGTGGCATGAATAATTATCTAAATATATCGTATTCTGTGTTTTCAATTCTAAAGCAATCTCAGCCTTAAATGAGAACAATTGAAACTCAAACAGAAATAATTTTTTGTCTGTTCTAATAGCACATTACTACTATCAAATAAATAGTTCTTTAAATGATAACTGGCTTTAAGAAAACTACATAATTAACAAACGATTTTAATATTTTCAATTGCCGTTAAAATGCATTTTCATTAAAAACAAGATAACAGTTGATGTTAGTAATAACAGAAATTCCAATGAACAGAGCAGAAAATAGTGTTATTCTGATAAATGAGAGACAAAGCTCGTAAAAGGACACGTTGGGCCTTATGACCGACTCCCATAACCACAGATACCTTGCGGCACGGTAAAACACATTTTAGCACGACGGTAACAAGCTGGAAAGGACACACATTCACACGACTACTTTATTTCCCACAGCCTGCCTGTGCACACACACACACACACACACACACACACGGACAGACACACGGACACACTTAGGCAAACGGTATGTTGGCCTCCATACCTATGTTTGTATATGTATGTGTAGTGCACAACTACACCTGCACCCACACGTGCTCGGTAATTTGATGAGCCAAAGGATGCTATGGTAAAAGCCAAAGCCAAAAGGCAAAATGGAATTATGTCAATTTGAAGTGCATTTTAAATATGCGAACTAGGCGAAATGAGCTTTACTGTATCTGCCGGCAAGTATATGCGCTACTTGGACTCATTTTGCGCTGCCGCAAATCGGGGGATTCCATTCGAGATAATCTTGCTTGGCGCACTTGCATAAGGCGCATTGGGATTTGGATTGGGAGCAGCAGAAAGCGTATAACATGAAAATCAATTTGAGACCCAGAGGTTGCTCGCCGGGGAATTATGTTTATACCAGACATACATATATGTATTTGCACTAGTACATTCTGCAGCAATCTCCTCAAGACTTTGGCAGTCAGTGCAAATGTTGGCCAATAGCTGAGCATCCGCCTTATACATTACTCTCCCTTCATATCCTTTTCAGTTTGCGGCTTGTTGAACATTGGCGTAGCTGCAATTTTTGGCCCACAATCCTCGCACACGGCCAGCCATGTGCAGAGCATTTGCGACAACATGGAAGTGAGTGCTTTTGTTTAAGAGGGGCATGTGGGGGGGTGGCTAAGAAATCGCCTTAATCTATGTCGGCTGTTGCACACAATTATTTAGATACCGCATTTGGAGAATCGCTGGGATTACCGCCTGAGACGCGAAAGCTGCCTGGTGAATCTTTATCCCCATCCAAATACACTCTCCAAGGTAATGTGTATATGTGT